ATTAACATAAAATTTTAGTTATTTCCTAGTTAAGACTGACAAAATTAATTGAGACTATGGTATAAAAATTTGACGTATTCGGAGAGTTGATTTATTTTATTCGTTAATTTTTATTTTTATTCTCGAAATTTATTGTCAATGAACTACTTAATGATATTAAATGTTTAATTTATAACTTAATTTTATAAAAATGGTAATGAATAATTTGTTGAAACAAGCATATTTTTTTGTTTATTAATTAATGAGTTAGAGCTGTGTTTCAAATCAATCACTTACTTGAATTAATTTACCTAAATTTCGTATATGTGCATAAAGTTCACACTATGAAACGTACCCACTAGAAGATCTGTTATAAATTTATGCACAGAATTGCTGTGTTAATTTGAATTTCAAATATTAAAACTTTCTTTATTTATAATTAAAATCAGAAGCTTTTCAAGGATAAAATTAGGTTTTTTCTGGAGAAAACCCTTTAACGACAACCTAGGTACCTACTTACACAGTTCTTTCAAAAACAAATTTTGAAAAAAATTGCTCTGAATAATTCATGGCATCATTTAATTGTTAAGAAAAATTTAATTATAGCAGTATAAACTATTGCTGCCGGTCGGTTTGTAACACTGAATTAAATTCCAAATTTTCCTAAATGATTTGTAATAGTTACTAATAAGAATTCTGAAGATTATTTCGACCAGCGAAACACTGAACGATATTTTGTGATATTTAGGAAGAAAAACTCCAATTGTATACATATTATTATTGTAGACACAAACCAGTCCATCCGAATTAATTTTGTTTAATTCGATTAAACAAAATTAATTCGATTCGGTTTCAAATTTTTCGATAAATATTACTTTGTCAAAGTAATAAGTTTTGAAGAATAAGCACCTGGTTGCAACAAACGACACCACTCAATTTTAAAAGTCTTAATTAGAAGAAAATCAGCTTTGATAAAGTGCGTATGTAGCGCACGAAATATATTTAGCGAAAAAAAAAACAAAAAAAAAAAAAAAAAATTATTTTATTCCGAATAAAAGGAAGTTTTCTTTTCACACCAAAAAAAAAATAATTTGGTGATATTTCCGAACCTATGCAATATGGACAATATGTTTTCAAAATATTAAATCGAAACTGTTTGAATTCCTTTGGTAGCCCGGAAAATATTTTGTCTCAGGAAGTACTTAAACTAAAGTAAATAGTAGTAAAATTCAATGCAGCCTATGTGTTTTACCAACAAAGTTAATATATATTTGGAAAAAACTGTAGTCAAGACAATAAAATCAATATTTACGTACATCAGAGAGTTGCCAAGGTTAACTATATTTGATTCTTTCTTTATGCAAAAAATATAGACCCAATAATGAGTATAAGTAAAACAAAGAATTAAGAATGCATTTATTATTGTAATATTCACTAAGCTCTTTCTTAACCCCGTAATAATCATTACTATAAGAAGCATCAATCAAGCGTGGTAACCATGTTATATACGTTTGAAGATTTCAATATATCCCAACTACCTACCTACATACGAGTATATTTTAATCAGAGAGTAATATAAAAATGCTGACATAGTCTTACATAATTATTTAAAAAAAAAATTCTCTTTTAATGTTCAAATATATGCGCATATTTAAGAAGTATATGTGCAAATGTAATATAATGTAAGTATACAACTTACAGCACACCCATATAATATTAAGAATTCGTGATAGATATTTAAGTATTCCATTTTATAATTGATAATGTACATATAAAATACTTGGATTAAAACTTGCATCTATGCATAAATATTTAAAATTTTCCAATCTAATAATGGTGTGGTAGGGGTTTGTTTGTGTGTGCAGGTTATTGAAAATTCGATTTTGCTTTTTCTTTACGTTTTCAAGTGGATTCTTTGAGTAAGTGAGTAAATTTTTTTTTTTTTTAATCTTGATAATGTAATTACCATATAACCGATTTTTTTTCTCTCTTCTTAACTTTTATAACCTATAAAAAAAAATATTTCATAAGGTAAATATAAATAGAAAGAAAACAATTTTCATATTCTTTTACGCGAAAAACGAAGAAAATTTTTATTTCATTCGGCTTCTCTCTAAATGATCCATTTAATTATTAATTATTCAGAGCATCAAGTTGTGAAATTTTTTTTTTCTTTAAAACAGATTTTACATGGTTTTTAACATAGATTTTTTTTTTGTTTTACTCAAACATGTTAATTTAAAATTACACTATATAATTTTGTACATAAATGTAAACATATAAGTATACAATATGTAAGTAAAATGTAGAGCGAACAGTCAAAGCTAAAATATGGTGGCAATATTGTGCACGATGAGCAATATTTCATGACAATTTTGTTTTTTGTTATTATCGTTATGGCTGTGCGCTCCTTTTCATTTTATTCTCTATTTTTTTTTTTCATTTTGAGAGGAGAGCAAGGGTATGTAACCATGTAATGTAATTAATTTTTTTTTGCTTTATTTTTGTATTCATTTCAAACTTTAATAATTACTTTTATATAATTTAATGTAATGGAAAAAATTAATAATAATAAATGAGAGTATAAAAAAAAAATTAGTTATTGCAACTTTTACTTTTTTTTTGGAAGTGGGTAATTTGAGATGGGTTTGAAATTTCTATTTGTAATTCAAAGTTAAAGTTTTTTTTTATTTTGCATTTATGAATACATAATTATTAATTTTTGTATGTAAGTATGTACTTAAATAAGTTTAACTAATTTGTTATTTAAAAATAAATTATAGTTACTTTTTATATAAATTTTTTTACAGTAGTACCTCGGTAAGTACTTAATATGTTAAAGAGACTTTGATACACCTTCTGGAGGACACAAGAGAAGGGAAACATTGGATAATTATAAACTCACAGGGGCAGGGATTCGGTTCATCGATCCTTACAAGTTACTTGAATTTATCAGGACGAGAGAGTGCTTTATTGCAGGATATTTCTAGCACTCAGACCGAGGATAGGTTGTGATAGAGGATATTTTGAAGGGAACGTATTCAAAAATTTGAAAATGTGTTGCTACACATATCTTGGAACTTAACTGTACTAACTAAATTCAAATTGACGGTTCTGCGTCAATTCGTTTATGTTTGCGTATACCGAGGTGTGCCTGTATTGTACTAGTATACAAACATTATATACATATGTATGTATAAAACTGTAATGTTTATTTGTATGTATAAAATTAGTTCAACTTTAAATGAAAGTTATGTTTTGTTTTTATTATTTTGTAAAACATGTAATAAATTTTATGGTTAATATTTTAGGTCAAATATAAAATTTATTAAAAAAAAAATTAGTGTAGAATTTATGAATTATTGTGAATGTTGCAAAGAAAAAAAGATTAATTTAATTTTTCTTACAAAAGTTAAAATTTTTATTCTACCCACATGTAAGTACATAAGTTGATTCCATTTGTGTAACTATTGCGATTTTTAATATTCTAATCACATTTTTGATAATATTCTAAATTTAATTACAGGTACAAAATTTTCTATGAACGTTATTATGGCGGTGTGCTTTCTTGTTAATAAATTTTTCACACCTGACATGCTCTGACGCTGTGGGTTTAAGATTGGGAAAATCAAGTAATACTTTTTGCTATCTATAATTTTCAATATTTTTGTGCTAAAACAGCAATTTTATTTATTTCAAATTTTATTTCTTCATTCCGGTTTTTCCTATTTTTCATTAGAATCTTACAGCAAATGTTAATAAATATGTAAAATATGTAATAGTAGGTTACAAAAGCTGTTTGAATAATTCAATTAAATTAAAAAAAAATTGCTGAATCATGTAAAAATCAATTAATTTATACCAGGCCTATATATGTATATATGTAATTTAGTAGAACAATAATTATAATAGAAATCATTAAATCGAAAGAGATTATTAGAAATTCTTAATATTAAATATGCATGTTTTATGTCGAATATCAAAAATAAGTTTTATAAATTAAATTAAAAGCTTTTACTTGTTAAAAATAAGGCTTGTTAATTTGTATATGACTTTATAAAAGTTATGAATATTGTTTACAGGGGGATAACCAGGGTTTTGTAACGCAAGTTTAATATTGAGCTTATTAAAACTACTAATATTTATTTTTAATAAATGTTCTAAGATTAATATTCGAATTTCTTTATTTATAAGTGAAAAATATAAAAGAGCCATTTAAAGGTTTTGGAAAACGTCTCCTTAGACTTGGGTGTCGTATCTGTCATTTCTGACAATCTAAGTTTAAAGTTTAAAATACGAATTGTAGCAGTGTTAATTGTAATATTTTGCTCAAATTGTATTTAAATTTTCTTTGATATTGGTTAGTAGTTCTCTATATTAAAAATCACGGTCTCAAGTCAAAACATGCTAAAAAACGTACACGGCTTTAAAGTTAAGGAAACGTTCACGGCATTAAGGTGACAAAATGAGTATTTTCTAACTTAAATTGTTCTTCATACTTTGCGACTTTTATTATAAAAAATTTAATTCAATAAATCAATTTATATTTGAAATGTTATTGATCAAAAGTGTTCGCAAACATTTTTTTTTAATATTAAAATGGATTGAAATGAAGCCAACTATTATAAATTATACGAGTCTATTTATTTCCTCTTTTTAATTAAATTTTATAATAAATGATAAATTCTAAAACTATTAAAAACTTCTATAAATTATTAAAAATTATTTTCAGACACCTTATTCTTACTATTTTTGACAGGTGAAAATATAACCAATTGCATACTTTAAGGCGCCACATAAAAAATAATATAAAAACAACAGAATTTCTCATAAATTTTCTAATTTGAAATTTATGTGCATATATACATATATATACCTATTAATAGACGTATAACTTCTTTTTAGCTTAAAAATTATAGGAAGTAAAAATATGTCGCTCTTTTTTATATAAAAACGTATAATATACATACATATACAAAAAGCAAAAATACATTAATAAAAATTTTTATTTAAAAATTTACTTTGTAATCGTTGTAAAAATTATCCTTTTTTTATTCCAATAGCGTGAAAATTTTTAATTTATCTAGGAAAGTTTTAAACTGTACTTAAAATTTTATGTTTGACACTCAAAAATTCTTCAATTTAAGTTTGACACTAATAAAATTTTTTTCACATTTATTAGCAACACAGCAAGGGTTAAAAACTCAAGAAAAATATTTAAATGTAAAAATTTTTTTTTTTTCAATATTTCGATTTCTGAACGCTTTTTTTAATAATTTATTGCATTTATTATTTTTTTTATAATCAATTTCAAAAAAAAAATTTCAACAGAAAAGAATTTGAACACAATTTTTATTGAACGAAATTAAATCCGTTTATGTAATTTTATACACACACACACACACAAATCATATTACACAAATTTTTTCGATTTTAACAGTAAATTCGACGCTGCTATTTATTTGACGACGATGCTTTCAAATCACTTTAGTGCACAAACACATGCATACAAAATGGATGCACTTACAATGATGTGCAATAACCTTAATCATTCGTTCTTAGTAATAAAACCTTTTGTTTTTTTTATAAAAGTATCATTTTCAAATTACAAAGAGGGCGCTCTTTGTAATGAAAGATACCCACACCTTTTACCGATTCCAAATTAACAATTTACAGATAACAATTTTTTTAAGAATAACAAAAAAAAAATAGTCTTGTTTTTTCGATTCCCTTCCTTAGAACGAATAAAACTAATTATAAGAGGAAAAAAAAACAAGAAAACAAAAAAAAAATTAACCGATTTATTCAGAAGAGTTAATGAACGGCAAAAAGAAGAATTAAAAATTTTCTTTTTTTTTTATTTTTCAAATGTTTTTTATTTTTGCTTTCAACCGACCGAACCGCCACAATGTTATTCCGAAACTAAATATGAAAACTTTGTTGAATACCTGAGTAACCTGTTAGTTTAACGGAATTTAATAAAAAAAAAACATAACAAAATCATTGATTCAATCTAAGTAAAAATTAAAAAAAAAAAAACATAAACAAAACAAGCAGCGAGAAAAAAAATCACTAAACTCACAAAACTCACAAAAAAGAGAAAAAATTAAAAACAAGAATTGTGTTGAATTTTGTTGAGCTTTAACATTTGAAATTCCTTTACTCGTGTTTGTTGTATTTGTACATATAGCAAAATAATAAGAAAAAGACAACAAAAAATATTTAATTTTTCATTAGAAGAACTCAATTTTTATAAATTTTTATTTACAATATCTTGTTAGACATACGTATCAGCTTTCAATTCAATTTCAATTTTTGATTGAAACCAGAAAAGAACAACAAAAACGAAAACAGTTCAATTCATTCAGCTAAAAATTCAGCTTCAAATTCAATTTGAAAATATTGTTGTTTACGTGTATGTATTTGTAAGTATTCAGAAAATTTTCACGATGAGAGGCGCTGCTGCTGCTGTTGCATTTTGTGGACCAGTTTTAATCTAAGTTTTAAACTTGTTTTCGTATAAAAGGCTATATACAGAAAATAAAAAAAGAATAACAAAACGAAATAAAAAAAAAAGAGTAAGGAAGAAAAATAAAATAATGCACGAACGGATAGAGGAATAGAGGAAAAAATGGAAAGAAAAAAAAAGAGAAAGAGAATAAATGTAAGATAATGTTAAAGAGGGACAAATGGATATTAAAATATCAAACAAGTACAAAATTCATTATAAAGTCACAATGGTGTAATGAAAAATATATTGGATGAGAGGAAGAGAAAAATAGTTATAAGAATAATACATACATACACCCATACATAATAAATATTTCTAAAAGCTGGTTTTTCTAAGTAAAAAAAAATAAATGCTCTGTCTTATTAAAAAAAATGAATATTTTGTGTTTAGGAGTTACAAACAACAGCTTAAACCCGGTAATTTTGCTTCAACTTATTATTCGGTACAAAATCAAATTATCAGAGGAGTCAAGAACTTCACATATTTACATATCAAATATTGTTGAATTAAATGAACTTGCATTAACAGATTTTTACATTGGTTTTTAAAAAATTTTTATAACTATAAATTGTGGAATTACAGAAGTGAGCCAAAAAAAAAAAACAACTGCGTATAAAAGAAAAAATATTTAAGAATTAAAATAAATTATAAAAAAAAAAAACAAAAAGAAAAAAATTATTTTAGTCTCCGGAGAATAATAAAGAGTGCGCAAATATAATTTTTTAAGTCTACACTATTATTTTGCTTGATTTCATTTTGATGCGTTTCATTTCATATTGCATTTCTCAACCAGTTTCCTGTACGAAACCGAGGCCTTCGAACGCTTACTTCGACCCATAGATTATTTCGCGATTCCCATTCTCACCTAACACTATTTCCAAGCCTCCGACAAATTTAAGTATAACAGCTACTTGAGGCCGCGAAAATTTTATCGGGATCAGAATGCCGATTCCGAAGCATTTCAGTTGTAGGCGAGTCACCATATACAATAAGTGCTCTAAAGATTCGTACTAAACCAGGCAGAGGCAACAGCTCTCACTATCTTCTTCAGATGGACCATTGAGAGGCAGTGATCAATGAGATCCCCCATCAATAGCATTAAATCTAGACGACAAAGTGTAGTTAGTTCTTGCCTTCCAATCCAAGGAAGATATAAATTTTTTGGAGTGAGATAGGTTTGAACAATCGTTCCAATGATCGACCCTGGCTCGTTCCTAAAATGAAAGGCGTTGGGCTCCCTTTCAGACGAGATAATCAGCATTTCTCTCATTTCCATCAATATCGTTATGTCTCGACATCCACTTCAAATTTACCTGCCAAGACTAGCCTTTGATGAGCCTAAGCCAGTTATGCCTAGCCAAGAAGTTAAGGGAATCAACGCATTCTCTTAGCAGTTTGGTACCACAACATCAGACGAGAGAGCCGGAAGAACGGCCCTATTAAAGGACGATATTTTTACAACCCAATCATCGATATGCAGACAACCTAGTCTGTATATTATGTTAGGAGGTACTTTTTCTTTTCGTACTTTTAAATCTTTTCTTATAATAATTGAAGTACCTACCTACCCATTAATTTAGGTACATATACGTAAAATAAATAGTTCAACTCTGATGAAAAAGAAAAAGGTTACATTTAATTTTGTTACTCGCATAAACATGTGTATATAATTATTAAACTATACGTAGGTACATATGTTTGATTGAAGGTAATCTCTGGAAAAACAAGTAATCATTCATTTAATGTAATAATGATAATGTGATGGTAAGAAATGAAATGATTTTTAATTTCGTGCAGCATAAGATTAACCGCAAGATCAGGTTTCATAATGACCGGCGAATTTTTTTTTCTTTTTAATTCCTTTTTCATTTTTACATTGAGCTATGTATGTATATCTTTCTCACTCTTTTATTTTAATTTTTTTTTTATTTTTCATCTTTTTATTATTTCTAAAGTTGCTATATTTTAATGTTAAATGAAATTTTTTTATTTTGGTATAAATTACCTATAAAAATATTATGTAGATATTATGTAAATACCTAAGCATACATACACATGAGTAAATATTTACAAACACATACATAAATTGTATTCATATAATAAGTACTCGTACTCGTACCCGTACCTTACATGAATTTGTTCTTACATTTTTATTTTGTTATATAAGATAAGGTTTTTTAAGTTTGTACTATTTTTATTACACCTTAAAAATGATATGAGAAATTTCATGAGTTTTTTAGCACGTTTTTAGTGGTTTAGTAAGAGAAAAAAGAAGAGAACACAAAAAAAAAAATATAAGATAAAAAGGGAATCATAAATTCCTTTAAAGGATTAAGTATAATTTTCAATAAAGATATGGTTAATTTTCAGGTTTTAATAAGTGTTTTGAAGGTAATTATAAATAAAAATATTATAATGAGCTTTTTTGAAAAGGGTTGAAATAAAATTTTGTTTAATTATGAAGGTATTTTGATGCTTGTTTTTTGCTTTTCTTCTTTTTTTTTTGAAATTTTGAAGCATTAACACTTATGACTAAAATTCTTATATTTATTATAACAAAAAAAAAGTGACAATAAGGCGAGGATTTGATTTTGTCAACTACATTTATAACACAGCTTCATTTTTGAATGTCGTGCGCCATTCACCTAGCTGCGACAGCGAGAGTCGGTTGAAATGTCGCAGAAATGTTGTTACTGCAATTCAGTTTACATTGGCAGCGGTACTGGCAGTAATTTAGCTCTGGTTTATTTTTAAATAAATATCAGTTGTAATGAGGGTTTTCTCGTGATTTTTATTATAATTCAATTGTTATCCAATTTTCATCGCATGCTGCAGAAACAAATATTAAATTTTCCAACTGTTGCATGTCGCAGCAATATAGCCAACCTTCCCTATTTAAATCAGTGTATTCAATAATATTTTGACACTTCGTGCGACTGTCGCTGTCATGTGTAATGCTTACCCTGATAACAATATTATATATTTCATAATACATACATATATTATGCTTAAAATAACTGACATTTGAAATTTGACAAGTGACACTTATATGGTACTGGAATAAATGTATTAATTGAATGTAATGGTGCTATAGGGCAATGGCAACCATCTATTTTTAAATTAAAATTAATTTTGAAATGAAAACTAACAAAAAATATTGACTTGTGCTTGTGAGTCAGTAATCTTGGCGCTTTAGATGCATATTTTATAACACGAAAAGAAAAGACTTTTTCTTTAGTTGTCTTTAGCAGAAGTTAAATAAGAATTTCGAAAAGTAATCATAGAATTAATTTCATAAAACAATACGCGTACTTACTTGTATATGTGCGCTTACCTATATCATAAATATTCAGTTCATGTTAGTAATAATAGAAAATATGTGTAAATAATTAATGCAATTAAAACAATTTAAAAACATCATATTTTACTGTAAATAACTAAGTAATTAAAATTCGTTAAAGTAAAATGTCAATTTTGAATAATTGCAATAATAAAAAATTTTTACTTTGCACTTTTTTCTTACAATAATTCATAACCAGTCCAACCCTGACGAATAAATTTTGAATTTAAATGATGCGGCCACTTTGGTAAGCAAATATTTAAAATTTTAATTTCTTGCGAAAAAACATACCTGAAAGAAAAAAAAATATTTTATTATTACT